TCTTTGTTTATATATGGCTATCCCATTGTTCCGGAATCATTTGTAGAAAAGATTATCCTTTCCTCATTTTAATTGATTTGGCACCTTGATGGAAAATCTGTTAAATTTAAATCATAAATGCATGGCTCTATTTCTGAATTTTTGATTGTATTATATTGAAAAAGTGTTCTCCAACTTTGTCCTTTTCCAAAATTATGTTGGATAATCTAAGCGCTTTGCATTTTCATATAAACATTAGGGTGAGCTTGTCAATTTACGTAAAGTAAATAATGCTGGCATTTTGACTGGGATTTCATTGAATCTAAAGACTACGTTGCAGAGAACTGACATCCTGATAATACCGAGTCTTTCGATCCATGAACAAGGCGGGTCTATTTAGGTCTTAATTCCTCTCTGTTCTGTGGTTTACAGTTCATGGGTCTTGGCTTTCTCATTGGAATATTCCCTGGGTGTCACATTTTTCCATGCTGTTATTAAATGGTATTGTGTTAAAATGTTCAATTTCTGGTAGCTACTGGTATACAGAAATACAGTAGAAGTTTGTATGCTAATCTGGCTAAACTCATTTACTAGTTCAGTAGCATTTTTTGTTGATTCCTTAGGATTCTACATAGACAATCATGTAATCTGCAAATGAAGGTTGTTTCATGTCTTCCTTTCTAATGTGTATGGCTTTTACTTATTTTGCTCACCTTACCTCCCTGACCAGGACCAACGTTGAATACAGACTGTGAGAGTGGACATCCTGGCCTCATTGCTGATCGGAGGGGAAGCAGGCTTTCACTGTGAGCATCATGGCACCTCTAGGGAAACAGGGTGAGCATCTAGGGCCTTGAACAGGTGGAAAAGTTGCCTTGAATTCCTGGTTTGCTGAATTTCTTTTTCTTTATAGTAGAATGATTTATTATTTTTTTTTTATTTTTTATCTTTTTAAAAATTATACTTTAAATTCTGGGGTACATGTGCAGAACATGCAGGTTTGTTACATGTGCCATGGCAGTTTGCTGCACCCATTACCCCGTCATCTACAGTTGGTATTTCTCCTAATGCTATCCCTCCCCTAGCCCCCCACCCCCTGCTAGGCCTCCCCTAGTCCCTCACCCCCCGATAGGCCCCAGTGTGTGATGTTCCCCTCCCTGTGGTCTCATTGTTCAACACCCACTTATGAGTGAGAACACGTGGCGTTTGGTTTTCTGTTCTTGTGTCAGTTTGCTGAGAATGGTGGTTTCCAGCTTCATCCATGTCCCTGCAAAAGACATGAATTCATCCTTTTTATGGCTGCATAGTATTCCATGGGGTGTATATGTACCATATTTGCTGAATGTTAATGATCAGGAATGGCTGTAGAATTTTGTCAAATGATCTTTCTTTGTCTATTTGGATGACACGTGGCTTTTCTTTTTTGACTTGTTCATAATTTGGTTTGTTAACTTTGATTTGTTAACTTTGCATTCCTGGGATAAAGTCCACTTGGTCATGATGTATTGCCCCCCCCATATATATGAATCTACATACCTATATAGAAAACATACAATTACACACACATATGTAAATATATACACGTGCATAGTTGGATTCAACTTGCTAAATGTTTGTTAATAATTTTTATGTTTATGTCCATAAGGGATAATGGTTTATAGCTTTATTTTCTTGTAATGTCTTTTTCTGGTTTCCGGGTAACAGAATGAGCTGGGAAGCATTACCTCATTTTCAATTTTCTGGAAGGTTTTGTATAGAATCGTTATTATTTCCTGCTTAAATATTTGTCAGAATTCACCAGTGAAGCCATTTGGGCCCTGAATTTTCTCTGTGGGAAAGTTTTAAAACATAAATTCAATTTAAAAATTAGATTCAGGGCTAATAATGTTATCTATATCTTCTTGAGTGAGCTTTGGTAGTTTGTATTCCTCAAGCAATTGGTTAAAGTGTTCAAAGTTTTTGGTAAAATATTGCTCAGATTATTCCCTTATTATTGTTTTGATGTCTGGATTCTTAGTGATGTATCCTCTCTCATGCCCCAGATTTGCAGTGGGTGTCTTTTCTCTCTCTCTTTTTTTTTTTTTTTTTTTTTTTGAGACAGAGTCTCTCTCTCTGTCGCACAGGCTGGAGTGTAGGGGTGCGATCTTGGCTTATTACAACCTCTGCCTCCCAGGTTCAGGCGATTCTCCTGCCCCAGCCTCCCGAATAGCTGGGATTACAGGTGTGCACCACCATACTGGGATAATTTTTGTATTTTTAGTAGAGACAGGGCCAGACTGATCTCGAACTCATGACCTCAAGTGATCTGTCCACCTTGGCCTCCCAAAGTGCTAGGATTACAGGAATAAGCTGCCATGCCCGGCCTCTTTTTTTCTTGACCACTAAGGCTAGAGGTTTGTAAATTGTATTGATCTTAAAAAGCCACTTCTAGGTTTCACTAACTCTCTTTACTGTTTGTTCACTTCCTTGATTTCTTCTGTGTATTATTTCTTCTGCTCACGACAGGTTTAATTAACTCTTCTTTTTCTACTTTCCAGGTGGGAGCTGAGGTGTCTGATTTGGGACTTTCTTCGTTTCTAACGTAAGCATTTAATGATGTCGATTTCCCCATAGTCATTACTTTAGCTTCACCTCACAAATTTTGATGTGTCATGTTTTCGTTTGCACTCAGTTCAAAATATCTTCTCATTTCCTTTGAGATTCCTTCTTTGACCCATGGGTTACTTACAAGTGTGTTGTATAGTTTGAAAAAGCTTTTTATATCTCTTTCCATAGTAGATTTCTAATATAATTCCATGCCGGTTCAAGAACATTCTTTGTATGGTCTGAATCCTTTAACATTTACTGAAGTGTGAGGAAAGGCTGGGGGGTCCATGGCAGCCTGACCAGGCAGGGGGAGAAGTGTGGTCCTTATGGTGAGCCACTGGGGGGCTTTCAGCAGGAAGGGGATTTGGTTTGGATTGCGTTTCTTTCTTTCTTTCTTTCTTTTTTTTTTTTTTTTTTTGAGATGGAGTCTCGCTCTGTTGCCCAGGCTAAAGTGCAGTGGCATGATTTCGGCTCACTGCAAACTCTGCCTCCCAGGTTCAAGTGATTCTCCTGCCTTAGCCTCCTGAGTAGCTGGGATTACAGGCATGCGCCACCACACCCAGCTAATTTTTGTATTTTTAGTAGAAATGGGGTTTCTCCATGTTTTTCAGGCTGGTCTCAAACTCCTGACCTCAGGAGATCTGCCCACCTTGGCCTCCCAAAGTGCTGGGATTACAGGCGTGAGCCACCATGCCCGGCTGCCACATTTTTTTTTTGAGACAGAGTTTTGATCTTGTTGCCCAGGCTGGAGTGCAATAGCGAGATCTCGGCTCACGGCAACCTCTGCCTCCTGGATTCAAGTGATTCTCCTGCCTCAGCCTCCTGAGTAGCTGGGATTACAGGCATGCGCCACCACACCCAGCTAATTTTTGTATTTTTAGTAGAAATGGGGTTTCTCCATGTTTTTCAGGCTGGTCTCAAACTCCTGACCTCAGGAGATCTGCCCACCTTGGCCTCCCAAAGTGCTGGGATTACAGGCGTGAGCCACCATGCCCGGCTGCCACATTTTTTTTTTGAGACAGAGTTTTGATCTTGTTGCCCAGGCTGGAGTGCAATAGCGAGATCTCGGCTCACGGCAACCTCTGCCTCCTGGATTCAAGTGATTCTCCTGCCTCAGCCTCCTGAGTAGCTGGGATTACAGGCATGCGCCACCACACCCAGCTAATTTTTGTATTTTTAGTAGAGAGGGAGTTTCTCCATGTTGATCAGGCTGGTCTTGAACTCCCGACCTCATGATCTGCCTGCCTCAACCTCCCAGAGTGCTGGGATTACGGGTGTGAGCCGCCGTGCCCAGCCTGAATTATATTTCTTAGTAAGCATTGTGGCTGTTGTGCAGAGGGCAGTGTAGACACCATGGTGTGAACCAGGGTGTAGCCAGAGCAAGGGGGAGGTAGGTAGATTTGGGAGCTGTGGGGATGCGGCGGTGATTGGCCCGGCAGGCATACACAGGGTGTGAGAGGTGAGTTGAGGGGCCTGAGATTGAGGTTTCCCTGAGTGGGGTCTCCAGGCGAGGGCATGGGGGTAACTTTGTGGCAGGACCGCAGATATCAGGGCATGGAGGGGTGGAGGCGAGGGCCAGGGGTCTGTCTAGAAAGAGCCCTGGGCTAGGATCAGGGCCGCAGTCGGCTGTGTTTCTGCGCCGGCCAGTCCACCTCTCTGCGAGTTTACTTCCTTGCCTCTGAGATGGGTAGTCGGCCTCGACCGTCCCAGAGTTTTCACAACCTGGGCGAGGGAGTTCTGTGCATGAGTCAAGAAAAGGTGTCCCCTCCGGAAAGACAAACAGCATAAGCCCGCCCTGTGGTTGAAAGCCTGAAGGCAAGGCTCAGTATTCCACACTGCCTTGACACCTGGCAAAGCCGGAAGGCCCCGAGGACCTGCTTGTGAGCTCCCCTCTCCCCTTTCACTCCGCCCCTGTGGATGAGGTTCCCTGGCCAAACAACCCTCATCCAGGGGGCCAAGTGTGGTTCCTCTTATCCTGCTTGTAAGGCTCGTTTCTCGCCAGCCTGCAGCAAAATGAAACAAGCCAATCACACCCTCCCACAGAAGCCGGGAGTCGCCCCACCCTCTCCGTGCTCCAAAGCCGGCTTCCCGCAGCCCTGGCTGTTCACTTGGATCCTCAGCGCACCGCCCACCCCATGAGGCCCCCCGTGGCATGCAGTGCCATCTTCCCGGGCTCCGAGCACATGTGTGTGGTAACCTGCTGCGTCTTCTCTGGCTGGTGTTTGGTGGTGTGTTTGGCCATCCTCGTAACCACAGGGCTGGAAGCCCTCCCTCACTGATGCAAACAGAAAATGATTAAAGCAGCTCCTTTCTTGGAGTGGACATAGCCTTTGCTAGGGTAGGTGGTGGGGCCATCAGAGCAGGGGCTGAGTTGCAGACCCCGCACGTCTCCTTGGCTGCATGCCTTGGGGCAGTGCACAACCTGGGCACCTGTATCTGGTGGCTCTCTCAGCAGGTTCCATTTATTTGGTCAGTGCTAAGATCAGTTCACCCTGATACCTGTCTTGGGGGACGGATCCTGTGATCATTCCCATTTCACAGACAAGGGCTCTGTATATGACGGGGTGAGATTGGAACCCAGGCTCCAGCTGGCATGGCTGAGTGAGGGTATAAAGATATGAGCCTGGCAGGGAAAGGGCGGGGAACCGTCTTGTTATTGGGTGGGCATGGCCGCCTGCACAGGCTCCTGTAGGGCTGGGGTAAGGTGGGGAATCTGATCAGGGAGGGGAGAAAAGGAGTGAGCAATGGAAGCTGCCTCCAGTCACAGCAGGCGGCCACGCTGTCCACTCGGCCACAGCTGCCTGGTCTCTGCCACGCCAGGCCCTTGGGGTCGCCCAATTCGCCTCCACCTTCTGATTGGAGAAGAGGCAAGTCCTTGCTCAGGAGTCTTTGACTAAAGGGGCTCCGTGCAGGCAGAATTTCTAGAACCAGGTACTTTCCACAGTGATGGCCTCTTGCCGGTTGCCCTGGGCTGCTGTTGATTTCCTAGAATTATCCAAAGAAAAGCAGTGCCATGTGGTGAAGCGGGTATGCACTCGGGGCTTGGGGCAGAATGGGGGTCCAGTCTGATCAGGGGATAAACTCTATGACATTAGATCTTTACTCCCTTCTGTGTACCCAAGCATGGGACAGTGCCTGAAACATAGTAGGTACACAATAAAAATCAACTAAGTTAAAGAAAAAAGGAAGTCCCAGTGTCTCCAGGCCTCACCAGGTGTCCTTAGGCAAGTTATATAACCCTCTGCATCTCAGCTTCCTTGGCAAAGAAATTGGACAGTAACAACACCTTGTGTGGTTGTTGCATTGATTAAATAAAATGACATAAAACAGTAAGAGCTCGATATTATTGTTACTATCATTGCGACCTCTGTTCCCATCAGAACTGAGGAGGTCCCATGAACACTCACCCAGGACACAACAACCACACGCCCAGAGCACCTGCTGCAGACCTGGCATTTTCCCAGGTGCTTTAAAATAATAATTCCCTTAAATCTGAAAACAACTCTGTGAGCCAGCTGCGGTTCGTGGTGGTTTTTTTTTTGTTGTTGTTGTTGTTTAACATCCATTTTACAAAGGAGGAGGCTAAAGCCCACAGAAGTGGCTCTCGCTATAAAATGCAGCTAGGGAGTGTTCCCTTGCTTCTGCCTCTCAAAGAATGGATGTGAGATGGCAAAATCTGCTCTCCGAGGGTTTGAAAGAACTCACCTGTTGATCTGTCTGGGACTGAAATTCTTTGTGGGAAAATTTCACTAGGACAGTTGAGACTATCTGTCTCTTCCTTTGTCAGTTTTGGTGAGAGAGGTTAAGTCACTTGCCCAGGCAGGTGGGGAACCCAGGCAACCTGGCTGCCGAGCCTGGGCTTTCAACAATCACATTTCCTGCATGAGGTATGATCACTTTCTATGCATGAGATTTTGGATAAGTCACTTTCTCTCTCTGACCCTAGGAATAGTACGGGGATAGCAATAGCACCTTTCTGGCAGGATTGTCAGAAAGATGAAATGGTTTCAGAAACACAGGCCTTGACACCCTTGAGCCTCTGCCCTGGGTGGCCCTGGCCTGTCTCCATCCTGGCCCAGAAAGAGGCCCAACCCAATGCCCAGGGTCACAGGTCACTCACTGGCTCTCCAGATCCTGGATGGTGTCAGGGAGCGGAAGTCCCCGGGTCTCCGGGAGGAAGAACAGCACAACCAGGCTGGAAGCAATGGAGATAATGCCGTAGACGAGAGGAGGCAGCAGCGGCAGGGCTTGGCGGCTCATCAGAATCAGGGGACCCATCATACCCCCGAGCCGGCCCACCATCTGCATAAGGCCATCTGCTGTCATCCTGTGGGTGAAGGGGAGGGCACAGATCCCTGTTACAGCTGCCCCTGTGGCAGGAAGACAGGTTGGCTGGGCCCATGGATGCCAGGAGAAGGAAAGCTGGGCTGAGGAATTGCTCTCCTCAAGGCTTCCTCTAATGCCACCACTTCCATGGAGCCCACCCAAATTTTCCCATCTAGTGTTTCAGGGGAAATCTCCAGGGCCTACCTCATTTTCCCTGCTCTTGGGTACCTTAAGGGCTTCTCCATGCTCCCGGTAGGCCACTGAGCTCCCAGCTCCGGCTTTCCATACGGTATCAACAAAATCAATACATGTTTGTCCAGACAACAAATTTTAAAATGGAGAAATGAGTGAGTGAGTGATGGAAGGAACAATGGGCTGGAAGTCTGGAGAGCCGGAGTCAGTCCTCCCCTTCTGCTAAGCCAGTCCTTCACCCTGAGCCTCAGTTTACCCAAATATCGAATGTGGGGGTGGTCTAGGCTCTAGACCGTTGGTTTCCATTTGTGTTTTGTGATGCCCTTGGGTTCCAGGGAGGTGACTTGGGGCTTTCTGGGGGCAGGAAAGGCATGGCAGGAGGTGAGCTGAGGGTCACCACTGCCACCAGGGCAGCTCTTGGTCTCCTTATCTGAGTTCTTATAAGATTCCACCTGGACAGATGGGTCTGTGGCTCACAACGGTGTGAAAACACAGACCCAGATGGCCCTAGGGCTCTGCTGTCAGCTGGGCCCAGACACTCGTGGGGAGGAGCTGCCTGGGAGGCCCATTCCCTGGCTGCCAGGCCCTTCTTTGCCCTCCCAGGACGGCCTTGCTGCCCCTGGGTCATGGCCTGCAGCCCAGCTTACCGCACCGTGGTTGGAAAGAGTTCAGCCCTGTAGATGGTGAGGCAGGTTAGGCTTATCCCAAAACATCCCTTTCCCAGCACGGCCAAGACCACACGCAGCGTCTGCAGATCTGGGTACAGGAAGAGGGAGAGTGGGGTTGGCCCCAGAGGGTCCCCAGGGGCTAGTCTGCATTCGGCCAGCCACCCTGGGGCAGAGGGGCCCCCGGGCTCCCTACACATCCCCGGTCCTGCTGGCTTGGTGTGGGGCTGCCAGGGCCAGGGTTGGGGGATGGAGCATAGGAAGTGATATTGTGGCGGTGGCCCGAGGGGCACAGGCAGAAACCAGCCAGGTCTGGGCTTCCTGCGGCTCCTAGGTTCCCAGGGTGCTTCTTGCTGTAGAAGAGAGTGCCCTGGAGCCAGCCCACAGCAGCCTCCCTGCTGCCCCCCAGACTGCCTATGTGGGGATGGCAGAAGCCCTGGCCAGGAGGCAGAGGTCTGGGGCCCTTTCTGGTCGCACGCCCGGCTTCCCCTACACGTGGTTCACAGGAGGCTCCTGCACTGTTGGGAGGGCTCACCCTCGTTCGCGTCCCCATAGCTGCTCATGCTCAGAGCTTGGGCTGCTGCCCGCAGGGCCCTGGCCACCTCTGTCCTCACTCACACCTTCCCCAGCCAGTGGTAAGGCACCCTCCTGCCTTCCTCCTGGCTCTGCCAACACCGCCGGACATGCGGCCATGTCCCTGTCCCCTAGTTTCCTACCCTGAGCAATACAAGGAGACACGGAGAGGGATTCCAGGTCCTCACAGCCTCCCTCATTCAGAAAGAAAACAGAAAGGCTGCTCCTGGGGCTGGGCGGGGGGTGGGGGGATGTGCCCCCACCACGCTGAGAGCAGTGGGGTGGGGGAAGCAGGGCTCGGTCCCCACCCCCCAGCCCATCCACCTCACCTGGCGGCACCAGCGTGTTGGCCAGGATGGAGAGGCCGGCCATGACCTGGAACCCCGCCAGGATGGTGCGACGGCCAAAGAAACTGAGCAAGAGGACAGTGGTGGCCCGGCCCAGGATGTCCACAGCCCCAAAGAGGACCTGGAGGAGGAAGATGTCACGGCCCAGGCTCTGCAGGTCGAAGATCAGCCCGTAGAGGGAGATCAGTAGAGAGAAGCTGCGGGCAAGGCTGGAAGTCAGGTCCCCCCTCTGTGGCGGGAGGGCGCCCGACAGCAAGAGCAACTCTCACCAGGAGCTGCCTGGGAGGTCACGGCCAACCCTGGAGGTCCGCCCACCCTGGGCTTGTCTCGGCCAGCAGTCCCAGAAGTCTGCTGAACTCAGGACACAACCCCAGGGTCAGGCTCTTTCAGGAAAGGGCAGGGAGGGTTACGCCCCCATCCCTTCACACGTGGGCTTTGGGTCAGGGGCAGCGCTGGGCTGGGGCCTTGCCTCTCTGGCTCCCTGGCTGGGAGACTCGGCCCTCTCCAGGCTGGGACCAAGCCTGCCCTCTAAGGTCCCTGAGCTGCCCTTCACTTCTGGCCTGTCACTCTCCGGCTTTGATTCTGATAACCAGTCACACTGTTCCTGTTCCTTTGTCTTGGAAGATAGGAATCATGACAGGACCGGGTCTTTCGGGAGGCCCTGGGCTGCACTGCCCAGACCGAATTCAGGATAGAGAGCTGTCCCCCAGCCCCTGGGAGTGCTGCCCCTCCTCTGGGGACAGCAGCCTGTGATCGGTTCCTGCCGGCCAGAGGGACCACCCAGAAGGGCCCCAGCTCCCAAGCCCCCAGGTCCAGGCTGGGTCCCGGCTGTGGCTGCATCTCCCCTCCCCTTCTCCATCTCAGGGTCTCCGGGCTGCCCCTGACTTCTGACTTAACCCTCTCTGGCTTTGATTCCGATAACAAGTCACACTGTCCCAGTTCCTCTGTTTTGGAAGATGACAATCCTGCCCACTCCCATGCCCTCCGAGTAGCTGAATTTACAGTATTTAAATTCCCCAGGTTTGGAGATGGGATTTGGATCCACAAGCGGCTGCAAGGTGAAATTCTTCTCAGCCAAGTTTAAAGTCTGTGCCCCTCCCAGCTCAGCCCAGACACGCCTCCTAGCCGGCCCCTTAGGCGTCGCCTCATTGTATCATCCAATAAACATCGGACAACACCAGCCCCAAAACCGCAGAGTAAAATCGCAGTTCACGCACAAGCCGCAGTGTTCGCTGAAGTTTATGCAAGTGACGTGACAGTCACTGGGCTGGTGCTCAAAGCGGCCGACACTGGGCCTCGGACAGATAAAGAGGCAGCGATGGGTCACGAGTCAAGGCAAGAAGACCCGCAAGGTCACCTGCTTCAAAGGTTCTGATTTGAATAACAAAGCTTGCCGAGCGGGCCCCAGGGAGAACTGAGGAATCCTGGAAGTTTTTTGTTTTTTTTAAAGAACTGGCCCTGGGTGTTGGCAGGGAGGACACTGCTTCTGATCTATCAGAAAAAAATTGAAGTTAAAAAAAAAAAAAAAGGCATGATCTATCTTTGTTCTAAAATGTAGCAAGTATTTGCCATCATAACCCATATAGCATAAAAGAAACATTTTCTTCCACTTTAGTTTTATTTCAAGATAAAAGCCCCAATCAAACCTGGTCCTTAGGTTTTTTTTTTTTTGACAGAGTCTTGCTCTGTCTCCCAGGCTGGAGTGCAGTGGCGCAATCTCAGCTCAGTGCAGCCTCTACCTCCTGGGCTCAAGCGATCCTCCTGCCTCAGCCTCCCAAAGTGCTGGGATTCCAGGCATGAGCCTATGCGTTTGGTCCTTACTTTCTAATATGCTCTTTTGGATGTCACCTTCACCACCAACACCCCATCACCACCTCCACACCTCCATCACCACCAGCAATGCCGTTACCATCACTAACAGCATCACCACCGTCCACACTCCCATCCCGGGGTGGGCCAGGGTCTAGTCATGTGGGACCTGGGAGGGGACAGCGCCAGTGGGCCGGGTGCTAGTTCGGCCCAGTTCCAATGCCGGCTCTGTCATCTTGGGCTTGTTCCTTACCCTGTGGGCTCCACTTTCTCCATCTGTGACATGGGGTTGCATCAAGGGGTCAGTGAATGCCGTTCACCTTCTAGGAGCATGGGCCTGCTCTCTAGGAAAGGGCTAGGTATCTAGCGCTGACTGACAGTGGTCCTCCGTGGACATGGCTGGTCCCCTGGCCCTGGGTACCCTCACTCTGCTTCTGTCTTGGGACCTCCCTGCGACCCTGAGACCCACAGCCTAGACCCGCCTTTCCCTCTGGCTTCCTGCAGATGGCAGCCTCCAGATCCCCCCCCCCCCCCCTCCCCCACTCCCCCCTCCCTGTTCGTTATCCTTCGCTGCCAGGGTCAGGACTTCTGCCTCCTGAGGCTGCCTGCGTCCTGTCCAGCTAGAAATGCACCTGCTGAGGTCTGCAGGTGCTGTTTTACCTGGACACCCCACCTCCTGCCTGTCCCAGCCCTGCCTCGGGAAGGGCTGCCAGGACGGCGTACCTTACCACCAGTACGGGGCAGCTCCTCCTGCGGAGCACGGGCACGCGGAACAAGTCCAGCCCTGACTGTGGCTTCTTGGCAGAGGCCACCTCCTCCTCCATGCTGGACATCAGCACCTTCTGGGGAGAATGGGGGCACCGTGAATGGTAGGGCAGGGGCCCCGCCCCACTCCCGTGCCAGAGAACAGTGGCCAAGTGGCCAGAGTGACAGGGGAGCCTGTCTTGGGCCTCGGAAGCCGGATCCCCAGGGGACGTGGCCGGGAGAGGGCAGAAAAGGTTCTCTCCAGGTCCAGCTCTTCTGCAGGTTTAGCCCAGCTCTGGCCCTCTCAGCTCTAGCTTGCCTCCTTCTGGAAGCCTTCCCTGATCCCCTGCCCCATCTCACTCTAATCTCTGGCAGAACCTGCCTCCTCAAAACAGCTACCTTCAAATAAGCATTCCGTTTCCCAAGACACACGGAGAAGCCCCATGAGGTGGGTGTGTTCTCCGCATGGGTGGAGGTGGTGGGTGATGGAGGTGTCAGTGTGGGCGCTGTTGGTAACGATGGTGCTGTGACTGATGGGGGCAATGGTGGTGAAGGTGGTGGAGATGTTCTGCAGAGATGGTGGCTGTAGGGTTGGTGATGGTGGTGGTGGAGGTGATGGGGGTGTGGACAGTGGTGTTGGCATTGCTGACACCATCACCAATGAGGGTTAAGTGAAGGCGATGGTGGCGTGGAAGTGGTGATGGGGTGTTGGTGGTGTCTGTGGAGATGCTGGGGCTGGTGCTTGTGGCTGTGGAGTCGGGGTGGGACTGGAGTGGGTGGTGCTGATGTGAGAGGCCACGTGGATTATCCATCAGCGGATAATTCCTGCCCCAGGTCAGGTCTTGCAAACAGCAGCATCTCACCTCAATGGTCAGGTTCTTGGCTTCCTTGTGGCCATTTATCCTGGCCACCTTTCTGAGTTCCTGAAGCGCTTGGTCTGGTTTGCCCTTAATAATCAGCCAGCGGGCGGATTCTGGCAGCCACCTGTAACGAGGCAGGTGTGTAGCTGGGAGTGCACACTGGGCCCTCCCCAGGGTGGGGTGGAAAGGGGCCGTGGTACAGACTCTCCAGCTGAGACGAGTGACGAGGCAGACGCTTCTGTACCACTGCTGCCCAGCCCGGGGCCTGGCAGTCCCCAAAGCTTTCAGAATAAAGCTGAGCCCTAGTGCCTGGCCACCCACCTTCCCGTGTGAGCCACCTTCATCTGGCTCGACTGGCTGCCAGGAGCCTGCCCACCTGAGCCCTGCACACAGCCAGGGCACAGGTGACCCTTGAGCTAGCCGCTTCACCAGTGATTCTGGGTCCATTTCTAGGATAGAAAGGTCACTTGGTGGTGTTTTTTTTTTTTTTTGAGACAGAACCTTGCTCTGTCACCCAGGCTGGAGTGCAGTGGCATGATCTCAGCTCACTGCAACCTCCGCCTCCTGGGTTCAAGCGATTCTCCTGCCTCAGCGTCTTGAGTAACTGGGACTACAGGCACGTGCCACCATGCCTGGCTAATATTTTGTCTTTTTAATAGAGATGGGGTTTCATCATGTTAGCCAGGATGGTCTCAATCTCATGACCTCATGATCTGCCCACCTCGGCCTCCCAAAGTGCTGGGATTACAGGCATGAGCCACGTGCCCGGTCTGTTTTTTTTTTTTTCTTTTTTTTTTAAAAGCATGTTTAAACATCCTCAGGCAGGACCAGGTGATTTTATAAAACCAGTCTGCTTCTCCCTGACCTCAGGGGCAGATGGGCCAGGAGAAGCATTTTCCTGGTGGAAGGCACATCTGCCCCGCCCACTGGCTCTCAGCCCTGTTTGCAGGGAAGCTAAGGAGGACTTCTGGAGGCAGTTTGCCATAGTGGTGAAGAGTTAGCCTGCCTGGGTTCAAATCCTGCCTCTGGCATTCACTGGCTGTGCGTAACTTTGGGTGAGTGACTTCACCTTTCTGGGCCTCAGTCCTTCATTTGAACATGGCAGTAATCACATCATCTTCCTTATTAGAAGATGTGCTAATATGCACATGGTGTGATTAACTGCACATGGTGTGATTAACTGCACCTGGTGCACTCCTGATCAGTGCGGTGGGGATGGCCTTCCTCCTGACGTATTGATCTGTTTGTGGAACATAAGCTGCTTGGGGTCAGTGGCTTTTGTCTGTTTTGTTCACTTGTGTGTCTCCAGCACCTAGGATCCTCTGCGCCTGTCTGCGTCTCCTTCCTCAGTGCCAACCCAAGGAGGGCTTTCCAGACCTGGGATTTTTGCAGCCCCTAAAATTACAATGGCAACGATCTATTTCCATATCCAACGTTGGTCCCCACTGTACGTAAGGAGTGAAGCTGGTGGGTGGGGGCTGGTGCAGGCGTTGGGGAAGGATGATGCCCACAGCCTCAGCGCAGGGGAGGCGGCGGCTGGGCCTGGGGGCCTCGAGAGCGGTGCTTCCACTGTGGCCGGAGTTCCACCCACTGCCCCTGCATCTTCCAGTTTTTCCAAGGAAGGTAAAAATACTGCTTTTGTTTTAAAAAAATCTTCTGATTCTTAAATGCTAGCAACTAGGTGTGTGTGTGTGTGTGTGTGTATGTGTGTGTGTGTGTGTGTGTGTGTAATTATTTTTTTTGAGATGGAGTTTTGTTCTTGTTGCCCAGGCTGGAGTGCAATGGCGCGATCTCAGCTCACTGCAACCTCTGCCTCCCAGCTTCAACCAATTCTCCTGCCTCAGCCTTCCTAGTAGCTGGGACTACAGGCGCACACCACCACATCAGCTGATTTTCTATTTTTAGTAGAGACGGGGTGTCAGTCTGGTCTCAAACTCCCAGCCTCAGGTGATCCACCCACCTCAGCCTCCCAAACTGCTGGGATTACAGGCGTGAGCCACCATGCCTGGTACAAATATATTTTTAAAATCACCATTTGAGCCAATGCTGTGCCAGCCCATCATCGCCTGTCTGGGCTGGACGGGAGCCATGGAGGTTGGGCTGCAATGCTCAGCCTAGAACTGTGAATTTCCTGTCTCTCCCCAGCCAGGGCCCCGCTCATGCCACTGCCCTTCTATGGCCCTCCACGGCTCTGAACCTACCACCAGCCAGGGAGGTGAAAGTGAGGGGACCCCTCCCACACCCTGGGCCTCCTAAGGAAAGGTTCCACATTGTACTGACCAGGATATCAGGAAGATGGCAAAGAAGGGCACTGATACTGCCAGCTGGAGGGTCTGCCAGTCCCGCAGGGCGAAGGCCACGCCACCCAGGGCTGCCTGGCCTGCGCTGAAGGAGCATGCCAACACGGTCAGGGTGACCGCACTCCTGCTGGTCGTGGTCCACTCCACCACTGAAGGATGCAGACACGTGCAGGTGAGGCCTCCGGGGCGGCCCGAGCCCCATTCTCTCCTGCTGCCCCCCCGCCCCCACGGCAGGAGTGCGCTGAGCTGGGGACTCACTCAGTACTAGGGGACTCACTCAGTACTAGTGCACTCAGGAAGATGCCGGCAATCCCAAAAGCAGTCACGAACCGCAGGCTGCAGTAGATGAGGAGCGTTGGGGCGAAGGTGGTACCGGTGCCCGCCAAGGCCGTCTGCAGGCAGCACCAGCTCAGCATCGGCTTCCGCCCAAGCCTGTCACAGGAGAGAAGCATGCAGGGCTGGAGAGGGGCCCCTGAGGAGGTGGGCATGTGGCAGGTGCCTGCCTTCTGGGAGTTCAGCGAAGCTGGGGGATCTCCTGCAGGCAGCTCCTCCTTCTTGGAAGGTTTAGGGACACACTCAGAGTGCTTCTGTTATAAAAGTGGCAGGTACCCTGCCACGGGAGGGGGCAGTTTAGCCTCATGTTTAAGAAAGGGGGTTGGGGCCGGGCACAGTAGCTCATGCCTGTAATCCCAGCACTTTGGGAGGTGGAGGCTAGAGGATCACTTGAGGCCCGGAGTTCAAGACCAGCCTGTGCAGCATAGTGAGACCTCAGTCTCTACAAAATAAATAAATCAAATAGCCAGGCGTCTGTGGTCCCAGCTACTTGGGAGGCTGAGGGGGAGGATGGCTTGAGTCCAGGAGTTCGAGGCTGCAGTGAGGTATGATCATTGGACAACAGAATGAGACTCTGTCTGTAATAAATACATAAAAAAGGCACTTCCTGCCCTTACTGGGTGACCCTGGGTGTGTGACTCGACATCTCTGAGCCTCAGTTTCCCCATCTGTCACACAAGGGTATCCACAAGGACATGCCTCACAGGGTTGCTGTGAGAATCAAGACACTGGGAAGAGGCCGGGGAGTGGGGAGGCAGAGACGTGGCCAGCTGCTGCTCCCCACTGTGCGCTGTGAAGGGGAGCTCTCGGGGGGCACGCAGAGCCCTCCACCCTGCCTGAGTGCCCTGGGCTGCCATGGCCTCCAGGCCGGCTGAGCCTGAACTGCAGACCACATTTAGCTCCGCTCAAGCCGGTGCTGCTCAGAGCAGATGCGAGGTGGACCTTGGCCGCACTTGTCTGAGCCGCACCCAGGAGAAAGGACACTCGCTTCATCCTCACGACAGCTGGATGGTGAGTCCTCACTGCTGGGGGGAAACTGAGGCTCAGAGAAGGGAAGAGATCCACCTTCTAAGACAAGACTGGGAATGGTAATGGTAAGGCTGGGATTCAGACCCAGGTAGTCAGATCCCATCGCTGCTGCCGGGAGGGTGGAGGCAGGAGGGAGCGGGAAGGCAGTCCTCTATTCGAGAAATAATGACTGCTTGCCTGCCACGGTGCGGAGGTGGGCTCTGGGGCACAGTCCCCGGGTCCCTGTGTGTCCGTGGGGACTTGGACAATCAGCAAGCCTTGAGCCAGCCGGGCATGGTCAGAGCCAGGCACTGTGATGAGGGCGCAAGGCGGGGTGGGACAGTCATGTCTGGGGCAGGCGGGAGTCTTTGGCTCCGTGGCCTGGGAAGGCCTCCCCAAGGAAGCGCATTGAGCTGTGGCCCGAGTGTGGGCACCAGGCAGAGTGGGCAGGAGGTTCTGGGTCAAGTGCAGTCACTGAGGCGCTCTGCAGCCGGGCGGGGGCTCCAGGAGGAGGCCGGTGGAGCTGGGGATGGGGGGAAGTCCAGCGCAGGGCAGGAGGTGGGCAGGAAGGGACTGTCCTCAGTGCAGTGGGGCCCTCGGAGGACTTCAAGCCAGGTTTTATCGACCAGATCAACCTCCAAGATTTTGCAAAGTCACTAGTGCTGTGGCAGCGTGGACGGCCACTGCAGAGGACACCCGTGAGAGGCTGAAGCCCGCCTGGTGAGAGGAGATGGAGGCTCCGGCAACGGGACGCTGTGACAGAGAAGAGCCTGGGCTGAGTGTGGGGTGAGGAAAGGGGGTCAGGGGACAACACAGGTGCAGCAGGGTCCACGGGGTGGGTGGCTGTGCTCTCGATGAAGGCTGCTGGGGGAGGTGGTGAGGAATCAGCAGCTCAGCTTTCAGAACAGGAAGAAAGGGAGGAGGGGCAGCGGGAGGAGGGGGAGCAGGAGGAGGGGCAGTGAGAGGAGGGGAGCAGGAGGAGGGACAGTGAGAGGAGGGGCAGCGGGAAGAGGGGGAGCGGGAGGAGGGGCAGTGGGAGGAGGGGGAGGAGAAGGAGGGGCAGCAGGAGGAGGGGGAGCAGGAGGAGCGGCAATGGGAGGAGGGAGGGCAGAAGGAGGGGCAGCGGGAGGAGGGGGAGCAGGAGGAGCGGCAATGGGAGGAGGGAGGGCAGAAGGAGGTGCAGCGGGAGGAGGGGGAGTGGGAGGAGGGGCAGTGGGAGGAGGGGGGCAGAAGGAGGGGCAGAGGGAGGAGGGAGGCAGGAGGAGGGGCAGCAGGAGGAGGGAGAATGGGAGGAGGGGCAGCGGGAGAAGGGGCAGCGGGAGGAGGGGCAGTGGGAGGAGGGAGAACAGGAGGAGGGGCAGCAGGAGGAGGGGGAGCAGGAGGAGGGGGAGCAGGAGGAGGGG